ATAGTAACTTCACAGATCGCCACAGCAAGTATATGAATGATGAAAAAGTCTGAAATACTATGAGAATTACCAAAATGTGGCACAGAGAGCATATGTTGTTGGAAAAATGGCAATGATAGACTTGCCATTTACCTTCAAATAAACCTTCAATTTGTAAAAAACGTATCTGTAAAGCGCAATAAAGCAAAGCATAATAAAATGAAGTATGCTGCATAAGAACTGAGATAGTAGAATGGAAATGAATTCTTTCAACCTATATACCAGTGGTTAGAAATAAACTGAACTCACATAAACACTGGTGAGCAGAAAACAAATCAAAGAAACTAGTATATTAACTCAAATACTAAATGGACAACAGGATAAAATCAATAGAAAAAGGTCTGGAAACAAAATCTTGTACCTCTTGGTTATATGGCTATGAAAATCTGAGTCAGCAGTGTTGCCATTCTCTGATCCGTACTATATACCTTAATTTTTCTAAGAAATTATGTACTCCTACAACCTATTGGCACTAAAAATAACAATCTGATCCCAACTTCTTTTCCCTTCTTTTTCTACAAATCCCCTTTCAACCAAACTTTCCTTCCTCTTGCTTCCTGAAAATACTGTACACATGCTTCCACCTTCTTGCCTTCATATATTTTTTTCCTATCATATATTGTCTTCACTAGAGGAAAGGATAGTATATTAAAATTTTCTATAGCTCATATAATACCTTACACCCAGGTAAAGTTAACTACTCTTTTCATTAATGCTGTCATAATATGACAAATATAAACACGTTACTGAGTTATTCTCTAATGATCTGCTTATTTTTCTATACCTCTAGATATAGGTGAGGCCCATATCTTATTCAAATTGGTTTCTCAAATACCTAGCAAAGAGTACATACTGGAGAAAGGCTGAGTGTAGCAAATAGTTTCAATAGAGATGTTTCTTTGGTAAACTAACAGCCTAAACAACACTTGTCAAGATTACATCTTGATCTACTGGTCTTCCAATAGATTAAAAGCACTCATTTAAAAATATACTCTGATTAGAAACAAAAACGCTTTCATATATGCATATAGCGTAACAAAAAATTAACAAATTCTGTTCCAAAGATCAGCAGTTACTTATTATTTGACTTTAAAAAAAAATGTCACCCCAAAAAAGCACAGGGCAACCTAGTAGAGAAATGACTTTTTAAGCTTAAAATTAAGTGTTTTCAGAAAAAATATTTAAAACAAATTTTAGAACTTGTGCTCCTTAGAGCCAGTTTTACATAGTTCATTGAAATAGTTTCAGGTTGTTGGATATTTATGCACCACCCAGGGAGTATACATTCACAAAGTACTACTTTTCAGATACATTATACCACTGAGAATCTTCAATTTCAACAGGTGATTATTATGCTGAACAAGTCTAAAACATATGCAGTATTCATATTAGTTACACTTGAATTTAAAGCTTTAGTAAATAATCACTGACAATATTTTATTTTATCCTGAAAACATTCAATGAGCCCTTCTGAAGAGAGACCATCAGAAATAATGGAACAGTAATATCAAAACTAAAACTTAGCTGTATATAGTTGAGGATTAATAACTGAAAGACTGATATAAATTGAAGTTTCCAAAATTGTTTTAATCTTCAAAAATAGTAATCCTCTCTTAAGGGAAAATTCTTATTTTCACAATAGTCTTTCTTTAGAGAAATTTCATTTCCAGAAGTAACAGGCCATTTTATTTATAATTCTATGTCCCTTCTTCCCACAATGAGTGCAGTCTACTCTGAACTGGGCAGACTGTGGCTCTTGATGATATTAAAACAGTCACCTAACCAAAGATGGAGAGGCCATACCTGAACACCTTCCTTTGCATCTGAGTACCCTAACTATCCAGGTCTTAGTAGTATAGCCATATTTAATACATAACAGAGCTAAAACCTCCAACTCAGCCACCAACCACCCCAAAGGAGAAGAGAACATCACTCCCAAGGGTCTCTCCCCACATAAGTTAACTTTGCCTAAAAGAGTTTTTCTCCCCTGTACACTTTTTAAAGACATTTTTATACATAATCACCCCCATTCAGTAACTTAACACATATATAAATAATGTTAGAAGGCTGGGAGGTCTATGGTATTTGAAATAACTCCAAACACAATATGTATCAAATTTGATTCAGTTCTAAACAAGCAGTAAAATTAATATTACATCATGCTCCTGGAAAGAATTAGTAATTCCTTATAGGTGAAAAGGTACATTTCACATATATAATTTTTTCTTAAGACAGTTTAAAAGCAGACCAAAATCTAACAAACTTTTCTCTATCAGAAGATAAAAATAATACTTTTGCAGTTGCTTCATGCTGCAACATTTATATTTTAATTTGGAGAAAGGGCAGAGACTTCACTTAAAAAAGCAACAGAAAAAGTTGAGTTTAATCATTTTTCTGGAGTTATTCCATCTTACCTTGGCTTGGAATTCCATAAAGCTCTTCTCTGAACATTGTTTCCTGTCTGAAAGTTAGAAACCAAAACTACAAACTTCTAAGTTCTTCCACTTTATATGGAAATCAATAAGCTAGTTTTAATACTGGACTGAATTTCAACGTTCCGTTTTCTGTTCCTATTTAGCTGAAAGGTATACCTATATCGAGTTTCTATCGATTTTCAACTAGAACTATCAGTTTTGCTGTCAGAGCTCTTTATTTTTGTACATAAAAGGAAGTGGGTTTTGATACTATCTCAATGTTCTTCCTGTCTTACAATGCATTTGAAATAAAGTGATGTCAGATTGAGTGTAAAACCCCTAAATAAGAAAAAGGATTAGGCACAGTTTGCTTTACCTTTATTAACAACTGCAACTAATTTGGAACTGCTTTGCTGCATGCTGCTACTATCACTGCTAACTACAAGTTTTCCACTTTAATTTGCACAAGACTACAAAAACAGTCATAAATACACAACTAAAAATGTACATATCTATGCCATATGCCATGTGCATGACTCATGAATGAGAGAAGCACATTCTATGAGACTAAATCCTTCTTCATTATTGGTAGCTCAGTATTTATCCACTTCTTAAGAATACCAGAGCTGCTAGAGTAAACACGAATCCCATATGCTGACATGTGTACTTTTCATCTCCATATTCCAAACACCACATACTGCTCATTCTATTCCCAGTTTAAGACTAACTACAATCAAAAATAAAATTTATAGAACATCTCAACATAATGTAAACTGAGGTTAAATATTCAATATTGTTAACAATTTGAGAATAATGAATCAAAAGCAGTTCAAAAATAATTTATCTGGACCACAATTCTGAATTTGCTATTACCTTGCTGTTAGTATCTTCTATTATTATGTCAAGTGTTGGACAAGATTATGTTATTTTAATCTACCTATTAAGCTACCAACAACGGGGTCCTATTGCTATTTCTTAGATCTTCCTGTGTCATAAAACATTTATCTTAAATTCTTTGAGAGAGCCTTTAACAACCATGTAACAACCACTACTCAAAACAGCTACTGTAGCATATGTGGCTACTGAAAAGTGAAGACCTCCAAGACCATGATTTTGTTTCCAATTTATCTGCTTGGGCTCCTTTAATACTGATTTCCCTGTTTCTAGCCACATCCATAAATTATGAAACTTACTAACTGTTTCTTAAGCCTGATGACTTGGCTTGGTTCCTAATCTTAGATCCAAACTTATTTTTTTTTTAAGTTTAAAGTGGGGAGACACAGAGGAGAGACAGGCCTTAACACGTTTGGCTCCACCCTTCCAAAAAAGGTCCTTAGTGCATACAGGAATAGAAGGCTCTGGACCGCACCTCCTTTCACTACTGACAGGGGTTACTTTAAAAATATATATCAGAATACTGGTCAGAGGTCCTGACTGTCTTGTCTTTATTTCATTTGTTTCCAACAGTTGAGGTCTGGGTTGCTCTCTAAGTGGTTGTGATCTTAAAGCAAAACTCCTCAATTCTCTCCAGGAGTAGCACACACATGAACATAAGGATGATAATGAATAAGACTATTTTTCTAATATAGTTCTATACTGATAGTTTTAAAGGCACTTAATGAGTCAAGTATTCTAACAAACATAACTCTAGCTTCTAGATCCAAAGACAGCTCATCTAAAACTCCCACTTTAGAGGATATCCAAGCTAGGAAAACTCTTAGATGTCTATTTTGCTCTGGAAAATTAGTCCAGAGCAAAAAAAAATTTGTATCAGTTCTTACAAAGGCACCGCACTATGAGTTGGCTTATAATCTGCCTTGCCATATATGGCAAAATTTACTAATATCTGGATAAAAACAATTTTCCCTTTTCAAGACTGACAAGAAGCTACAGATAATTAGAAAGAACAGGCAATACAATGTATCCTTAAGTGGAAAATCCATCCCAGGGAAGCTACAGCAATGAAGACATTATTCTTTAAAGAAAGTTTTTTGGGTAAACTGTGAAGCAGACACCAAGCAGAGGATCAGAGCAAAGACCACCAGACTAAATTTAGTCTTTGCTAATAGGAATGAAAAGCATTCTTTTCCTAGTAAGGAAAGAGGTGTTAGAGTAATAAGTGCTCAAATTTTAGAAAGAGAGGATTAAAAAGGCAAATAAAATGAGAGCATCCTAATAAAAGGCTACAGATGGCCAAGAGCTGAAAATAAACCCAAGTCAAATCTAGAACCATGTTGTCCAATTTGGTAGCCACTAGCCACATGTGGCTATTTATAAATTTAAGTTAAAATTAAAAATTCAGTTCTTTGGTTGCACTAGCCATATTTCAAGTGCTCACTAGACACATGTAGCTAGTGGCTACTGTGTTGGGTTGGACAGCATTGAGATAGAACATTTCCATGAGTACAAGAAATTTGATCGGACAGTACTGATTTAAAGGGTAAGGTAAAGAGACTGACTGATCTGGGGTCTGAAAAAAGAGAACTACCAACAGAGGCATTTGCCCTATAGCATTCAGTACTTTATAGAGGGATCAGGTGGATTTACCTTTCCTTTTCCACCTGCTCTTTTTTCCCTCCTTGTTGCTGCCACCATCACTGCTGCTGCTGCTGTTCTCAGAACTCTGAGAATCTGACTGACCATCACTGCTTTCTTCTGAACCTTCTGATAGCTCTTTCACCCCATCCGGCACATCTTTCTGAAAACGTAGGCATCCAATTAGGATTAAGCATTACCATTACAGCAAATAAGAATTAAATCTCTGATATGCATTGTTGCAAATTAATTGTGCTGATTAATTTTTAGTATTATAGGATTGAAAAGCAGAACTAGCAATATTTTCTGAATTCCTGTCATCTCTCTTCTTAGGGTCAAATTAGCTAATGTTTCCATCTATATCCAAAGGTAAAAGTTTCACATGACAATCACATGCAGGCAAAACTAGAGGCTTAAATTAGACAAAAAAGTAAATGATTAAATATTCAGGATAAAAAAAAAACTATGTAAGAACAATTTTGTGAAACGTGTACATCCATCATCCATGTAAAATATGTATGTATTTGTGTATGTTAGTATCATGTATTGTGAATTCAATTAAGAACCGGATAGCAAGGGATAATATATTATTTGAATCTAACTGGTTCCTGATTATTGGTTATTAAGTAGCAAGAATCAAACATAAAAGAAATTCTTTTTTTTTTAATCATGTGAATCTTTGGTTTCTGCACTGGATGGTGAGGATGTTAGTCAGAAAGGATAGCTGTGTCAGCATAGTATGTGAGTGATACAACAAGATAGTTGAACGATCAAGAACTAAGAAATTAAGACTTTCTGGGTTTAAATTCTGGCTTTATATTTTCCTAACTGTGTAGCCTTGGTCAAATTCTTAACCTCTCATGCCTCGGTTTCCCTGTCCAAAAGGATAATAGTACCTACCTTAAAAGATCACTCTGAAATTAAATGAATTAATAAATGTAAAATGCTTAGAATAATTCCTGGCATATGATAAGAGCTCAATAAATATGAGCTCTATGTATTTATGTAGTATACAAAAACATACACATATAAACACATTAATGTTATTTCTAAGTTATTTTTCCTCTCAATATTTTGATTCTTTTTCCCTCTCAATATTTTTTTTATTTTCCTACATAATTTTTATAATCAGATAAAAATTAATTTTGACATTTGACCCTTCTACCTACAACTGGTACTCATAATGTAGCTAAGACAGTAAACTCTGATCTAGTCAGGAACTGTTATTTTCCACTTATGTTTATACTCTAATGCCATTCTTGTTATACGCTTTCTTAAAATACATACCCCATATTTTTCTATTCTACCTTCAAAATACAAAACAACTTTTACAGAGTTAGTTGCCAGCCATACTTCTTAACCTGAAGGTTCAACAAGTATTTTAAATTCAAATATAACTAACTTCTTTTCTTAAACTTGTGATTCCCTCCAGGATCAACTGCTAATGCCCCGAATCTTAGAATTATTTCACCCCTTCACCCGCTCCAAAAAGTATATATTTTATTTCTCTAATGTCTTTTGCCTCCCTTTCTTTTACTATGCTCATATTTCGGGCCAATTCTCTCTTCCAAACAACCATAACCATCTTTTTGACAAGTTTTCCTGCTCCATCCCTAAACATATTCTACTTATCTCCCTAAATACAGAGTTGACCATGCTATGCTCCCAAAACCTCTGGTATCTTCTCAACACACACACTCTCCCCAGCCCCTCCTCTCTTTCTCTCTCAAACTGCTCAGTCCGGTTTTTAAAAGCCTCCAAAGTTTGATCTTTACCTAACATTCACCCCAACCCTTACTCTTTACCACGCTGGCCCACATGCAGATCATGGTCTAACCACTCCGATTTACTCTGCTTCCAAACCCACTCTGAATCATTTTGTCGGTGCCTCTGCTTAAGCTATTCCCTTGTCCTGGAAGGCCCTTCTTCACATTACTTACCTGTCAAGTTCAACTCATATCTTACAAGTTTAAAAGTTAACAACAAAACAAACACAAAAACTTTCTAAATTCCATTATTCAAAATTAATCTTTATTTCTCTATTCTATCACAGTGCTTTATAGTACAGTATATTATAGTGTTTTTGTCAGTGTGCAATTATTTCAATAACTATGTGAGCTTCAAGAACTCAGGGACCACACTTTATCCTTCTTTCAAGCCTCTACAGTGTCCAGCAAAGACTATGTATTTAGTAAATGTTATTAACAATATAGAAAGTCTAGAACAGCTTAACTCTAAAAGAAACGCAGAAAGCTCCATGTGGGACTATAGCTCTGTAACCTCAGGAGGTTCAACAAAGTATAAAAAAAAGAGGTATTATAGGTAAGTGAGATCTTTTTAATGTCAGTGGGCTTCACATAACCACTGAACAAATGGATGACTACAGCTCAAAGCTAAAGCAGAAAGAGGGGACAGAGTCCCACATACACGGACATTGTCATTGCATACTAACCATTAATTCTCCTGCTGATAAATTTCCTTTGGGAAACAACACCTCTCCTCAATTTATCTGGCTTGAATGGGCTTACCCTCAACCTCACATCAAGGGTGATCATGAACCTAAGAGTGGCCAATAAGTAGATCAGTACATTTGGCAAAGGTGATCATTCAGGTACAGATAATATGGGCCAAGCCAAATCAGTTAAGCCAAATCAAAACTAACAGAAGGGCTTCTGCTTTAGTTCCTAAGACTCTTGGCTCTCTGAACATACAGTTTGCAGAATGGGGGTTGGGAATGAAGTCAAGTACAACGAGAGAACATGCCTGAGAATGAAGCCAAAAGACAGTAAAGAGACCTGATAACATCCCTGTTATCAACTGTTACCAATCCCTGATAACATCATTTCAGCTCCTAGACCCAGGAAGAGTTTCCTAGAACTTTCAGTTATGAGAACTAATAAATTGTTTTACTCAAGTTCATTTGAGTTGGTTTTCCTGTTTGTAACTGAAAGGACACTGAGGTCAAGGCCCTTTCTAAGTGCAGGAATAAGAAATTAGCAAGCTTGCTGTGGTAAAAAAAAACATGGGCTTGGGAATTCAGTCAGATCTGGGTTCAGATTCTGTTGTGATACTATTTGGCCAACACTGGACAAAAAAATCCAATCTTCTGAACTTCACCTTTCTCAATTATAGAAAGGGAATAACAGGAACAATTCTGAATTGTAACAAAGAATTAAATGAGAAAGTAACATAAAGCATCAAGGTTGTATGCTCCTCTGTAACACTCATTATTATTCGAATGTTGTGAAGCCTTTGATAAAGCTACTGGAAGTCATTTTCACTTCACCCTTTCGAGATAGTGTTATGATAAAGAATAAAATATAAATTTACTTCTCTGATCTACGTACAGATAGTTACAGATTAATAAAAAAATATATTGAATACAGGGTGGAAAATATTATTTCTCTTCCTGATAATAAGCTCTTTGAGAATAGAATTCTGTCTCTATTATATAGTCACTTCATGTTTTTACCTTTAAATGACTCTCTAACAAAAATATTTACCTTCAAAGTGTATACTCCCATTCTACCTGGAACCTTATAGAAGATGCCCTCTTCACCTCGGGAGTTTGTATGCAGCATTGCATTCAAGCATGCAAGAGGGGAAGTCCCACTGCAAAAGAAAAAAAAAAAACAAAAAAGAAGAAGAAGAAGACAATGAACACAATGATTAGTTTCTGTCTCTAAATATCCAATGTAACACTGACCTAAGATAAAATTAACTGGTCAACAGTCATTTGACATAAATACTTTTTATAAACTATAAAGTCTATCAATCCACAGAAAAGCTGCCATGGAGAAAATGAATATAGAATTCACTCCCACACATCTAAGAAAACAATAATAATTCTTTAATTTTCTTAATCTTCATCCAGTATCTAACATTTAAGCTAAGAAAAATTTGTTTCAGAAGTATCACAAATATATTATATAAAGAGTCTATTTAATTTACAGTTTTGTCAATTATATCTCAGTGAAACCAAAAAATTTTTTTTAAAAAAGGCGATTTCAGTTAGCACAAGTTTTAAATGTCCAGAAGTAAAACAGAGGGGAAAGGAATACACACATCCAAATAAAAAACATTAATATCTTGTCTACTGCTACAGTAGATTAAATCTGATCTGTGAAACAGACACACTTCCATGGTCTCTTTTTACTTATTTTTTATTGCAATATAATTAACATGTATCGCAAAAAAAATAAGAAACAGTTTCATGTGTATAACATAATGATTCCATATTTGTGTACCCCGCGATGATCTCTTGTATTCAGACCTATCACGAGATCACTTAAAAGTAGGCTTTGGAATAGTTATTTATCTTCTATGAAGCAACTTGGTTAAATGTTTACTAATTCTAACATATATTTCCCATATTGTCTAGGGTTTTAGGTATATAATAAATTGCCTGTAAAAAATATAATTACTTTCCTAATTGTAATCAGATTTCATTTTCCTATCTTTTTGTAATTATCTAACAAAACAAGCAGCAATATAAATGGAGATGTGTGGCAACTTTAAATTTAAAACGAAAATTCTCACAAAATCTTAGGGATAAGGCAGATTATTTGCACATTTCTAGCTCTTCTCTCTCTCAGTTAGTTCTCTGCCAGTATGACTCAACAACCCTAATAAGCCTACCAGAAGCTGCTGCTAATCTTGGGTATTTTAACCACTTTTAATGACTGTCCTTATTTCATCAACATATTGTTAACCATTTTCAGTTATGATAGATATCATTTATTGTGCTAGGTGTACTGTTACACTCAAGATTATTCTTAAGGTTGTTTGTCCTTGTATACAATTCCCCCAAATAGCTGTGCTTTTACTTTCTTGTATTTAATTTTCTAGTTTTATCTGTTTTTTCCTGTGTTAGTGACTTTATTATTCTTAATTTAAGGAGTTTCAGAAAAATGACATGCATTTTCTTAGAGCTCAGTGGCTTGATTTTTCTTTTTTTAATTAAATGCCCTAGAACATCTGTAACAGTTATTTGCTTCTTTAAACTCCACCAGCTTAACTAGACTCTTGATGCATTCTAAAATTCCAGTAGCTCTCAAAGTGTTATTTTGAACAGAAGTCAGATTCCTTTCAGATATGGTATTTTATGACCTGAAAATCAATGGGTTTCAAACCTGATACTGTATCTGAATCTCACAAGTAGCTTTTTAGAAAAGCACTTTTTTCCTCTAGTGGTTCTAATGTATAAATTTTGGGATGGGACTCAGAGCATATATATTTTTAAAAAGCTCCACAGGTAAGTATAATGCTAGCCAGGGATAAAAATGATTGTGGTAAACATTATATATATTACATACATTTGGCTGTCTTTGGGTAATGTGAAAGTGTTGAGGATCAAACACTAGAAAGAAGATAGAGGACAACAAAGAAAATAAATAAAAACTTTTTGCTGAAGAAAGATTTGAGTGTCTCTAGGTTGATTTTCATACTTATGTTTATCTAATTTGGTTATTTCCATATTAAAAATATACATAATATAATTCTAGTTAGAATCCCAAAGTTTATATCAATAAATATCTAAAAATTGCCAAGAAATTTCTAGGGGAAAAAATTATGGGAGAACTGCTTAAGAAGGTATTAAAATATACTCTAAGTCACTATTATTGAAGCACTATATTTCTGGGACAGAATAAATAGGCAAATGAGCACTGTTATAGACTGTTGGTAGAACAAAATAGAAGATGCAGAAACAGATCATAATAAATGTAAAAGGTACTATATATGTGTAGTAGGAAGAAAAACAGTGTCATTATATAGTCACCTATGGTTCCACCTGTGGTTTGATTACTTGGCATCTGTTCCCTCTTCTTCTAGAGACAGTACCTAAAATTTCCCATGAAACATTATCCCTCTCCCACTCTCCCTCAAGTGATTGAGATGGACTTATTAACCCCATGCTTATCACAGGTGTAAGTCCAAACGGTTAAGCAAGCATTTCCTGGTTGGAAAAGCCAACCGGCATTTCTGTATGCATCCTACTCCCCACCCCTACAGTGACAAAATCAGGAACAGACACATGACTCAATCCGGCCAACAATCTAAGGTGCTGTTTACTTGGGTATTAGGGAAAAGAAACTTTCTTTTCAGGGAAGTGTCAGAAAGAGACTCTTCCGCTGAGTAGTATGAAGTAATTCCGAAAACTTCCATAGTCATCATGTGACTATGAGGGAAGTATCTGGAACTGGGGTGGCATAACACGCAGGACAGACAATAGAGACCTAAGTAAGGATTACCGGGAAAAATTCAACACCAAAAGAGACAGAACTGAGAAAAAGAGGTAAACAGCAACATATTTTTCAGCAGTATTACTTTTGCCATTGTATCAAGCCTTGCCTTGGGAATTTTGTTGAGCATTTAAGTCACAAGACCTGAGAGTCCTAAATAAAAGTTTATTTAATAAGTAGTGATGGCTTCTCATGTTGTACATCTGGGGGAAATAATTCTCACAATATATACAAAAACATATTCCAAATAGATTAAAGGCCAAAATGTAAAGAGTAAAAGGTATTAAAAGAAAATAGTATAACCTACAGATACAGAAACTTTTCTACATGAGAGAAAACCTTAAAAATTTTTTAAAAAAAGAAACATATAGACTAAATAAAAATAATATGATCAACAAAGTGATAAATGTATACAAGCTGAAACAGGTCACTGCAAAGCAAATGCCAGAAAAAAAAATTAATAATCCTAAGAGCCTCTTTTAAGAAAACACAAACCACCAAACAGAAAAAATGGATAAACGATATGAACAAATGATCATAAAACATGCAATGTAAATGGCCAACAGAACACATGAAAAGAAGCCCAAACTTAATAGTGGTCAAAGGAAAACAAATTAAATCAATATACCATTAGACTGGGAGAAATCGAATGGATTAAAATCTTAGCAGTATTGTACTATAGTTATGTAAGATGTGACCACTAGAGGAAGCTGGGGGAGGTATACATGGGATTATTTTTATAATTTCCTGTCGACTTATAACTACTTTAAAATTTTTAAAAACGAATTGATAAAATCCATTGCTGGTAAGGATATAGGCAAATGGGCACTCTTACAGACTGTTGGTGGGACTAACAACTGCCACCTGCCCCCACTCCACCCTCTAATTTCTCAATTCTGACTTAGAAATGTAACATGGAAGTATCCATTAAAATAAAAAATATTAGAGGTCACTGATCCAACAATCTCACTTTAATCCTACAAAAATAAGGCCACAAGAACTTAGGGTCATATATGCAAAGATCAGCCACAGCATCATTAAAAGTATCAAAACACCGAAAATGACTTCGAAGTCTATTAATACGGGAATGGTTGACCATATGTTAGTAAAGTAACCAACAGAATATAAAACAATAACAGCTACATTAACAGTAAAAGAAGTGCTAGATTCCAAGAAGCATTCTGTTTAGCCTTCACAATTCTTTTGAGACAGGCAAAATTATTTAACCATTAACAAAAAACTAACATATATAGAGAATTAGGTAAGCTGTTCAAGAGCACATTAATTAGTAAAGAGTGAAGCCAAAATTCCAATGAGAAAAAAAAGAAACAGGAAAGAGACCATTTAAAAAGAACATATAACTAAGTGAAAACACAAACAAACAAACAAAAACATGCTATAATGTGTAGTTCAATAACCTATCTGGTAAAAGTTTGTCCCAACTAATGGTATTCAATTTCAATAGTAAGTATCCATCCTGTTTATGCCAATAAACTAGGGTCTGTGGATCTAAAGGGGAAAGCTTTCTTAGAAAGTTTTCAGAATCTAAAAGAGAAAAGACAAGGGAACAAGTAACCACAGCACACTGCAATTTAATCAGTGCTATTAATATACACACAAGTCCACAATCCCTGATGCAAACTGAAGGCCAAATATTTCAGACATAAAAATCTTCTAGATTTTAGAAAGGTAACACAATACGCCATATGTGATGTACTACCACCAGCATCCCATAATTAAATACAGTTTAATATATGAATAAGTCACACTAAGTGGGGTAAACAAAGATTATATACAGTTTCATGTCAGTTCAGGAGAAGTGTTGTCAAATGTGTTTTGGTAACAACTGTATGGAAAAAACTTTTTTAAGCATTTTGAATTTGGGAATTATGAAATAGACTACAGATCTGTATATACAAAGTGCTTTAAGTCGGAGAGAAACAAACAATCTGGTTTAGGGTTTAGGTGCCAGAATCAAAACAAAACAAAACCCCAACCCAAACCAAACCAATAAAACCCTTAATAGTAAAACCAATAAAATTAAAGTAAATGGCACACACATCTGGTGAAAAGATGTGGTGAAAGAGATACAGATACCATCATAATATTTTCCTTGCAAGTCTGGGTATAATTTTCCTTTGAAGGAAATAAGAAAGTTTTGAAAAATCCACAAGATATACAGAACACTGTACCATTTAAGACAAAAATTTAGATTTTATTTCAGAAAAATTACAAAAAGAGAGTCCAGTGTTTAATTTTAATGAAGCAATGGCAGAGAAGTAAAAATAAGACACACTGATCATAATGGCAGGAATATATCTTCGAGGGAAGTAACTCCGGAATTACATAAATAAAAATAACTGAATAACT